AAAACTGCGAAAGGAAGTAATCATATGGTCAGTAATCAGTAGGATTCCGTGCTTTCGGAGTTTAGTTTTCGCCAAGTTCGGAGGGTGTTTTTTTTTTTTTTAGTCTGCTTTGCCGAAAATTTGGAGTTTATCAGAGTTTATTTTTGTTTGATTCCGAATTGTCCGAAATTCGGAGCTCAATTTCGCAGTGGTTCTTATTAAAAATAAACAAATAATATCCGAATGTAAACGTAAGCTGGACAAAAAAGAAAAAAAAAAAAAAACGCGATTCTATTAATTAATATTTTTTTCAGTTGGATTTCGCGTTGGTGGAATTACTACTGGCAATACTAATTTGTCCTAGAACAAAAGTGGCACACAAGTGTTACTTCAATAAATGTCGATACCTCAAAATCAATAACCTACTGGAGGTAGTCGCTGGAAAGCCTGTAGTCATTCCATGCTATTCCATCAACCTACCGCGCGGCCGCAAGAGGCAGAGTGGAAAAGGATGAAACAGAGAAGTTTCAACTGACCTCTTCCTCGCTTTATGTAATTTCTATGGTGCGTAGTTTTCACGGTTAAAAAAACACAACCCCTTCTTCCTCTCAGGCACAAAAAGTATGACCCAAACCGGAAACTTATAAACAGTGACTTTTGTCTTGACCCGATAGTACAATGACCTGTTGTCCCGACCAAAATGTAAAAGATATGTGTGGTGGCATTTTCCCAGGACCATTTACTCAACGCGCAGATTAAACCATTAATTGTAAACTATATTTGTGTGTGTGGGGGGGGGGGGGAGGGGGGGGGGGGGAGGGGATTGGCATATCGAAATTCAGAGTTTATCAGAGAAATCCGAATAGACCAAACTTTTACCGGCGGGTGTTTTTCAAATTTATCAGAAAACACGAAACCCTATTTATTTATGAGTCACATCCCCCCCCCACCCCCCCTCCCCCCCCCCCCCCCCCCAAACGCCCTCGAAAATACTGAGCTTTTTCAGTGGAGACCGAATTTGGAAAAATGAATTCGGCGTACTTTTACCGGTTACCCGAAAACGCTGAACCCTAAATATATATCGTTTGAAGTTAAAAAAGATGTACGTCTCAAATAAGGCGCTGTAAAGGAATTGAGGTTCTAGGCCAATTCGTCGAAAGCCAACTCGTTGACGGCCAATTTTTCGAATCTGTTCTGTTGGAAGCCAGTTCGGAGTGGGAAGTATTACTCAATGCGCGCATGACGGTTCCCTGGGCAGTACCGAAGCCCCCGCTGGTGCGTATTCTGGCTATTTTGTAGCGTGAGCTACACAGGCCGAGGTTGAGCAGTTTCGCGTGGCTCGCATAATGAGCCGTGCTCCGTGCTGGGCATCCGCGAGGAGCACTGACGTCACACGACGCACAGCTGGCGCGCCAGAGCCGCCGCCGCGCCCGCCTCGCCAGTCTGCGCATTCCAGAGGAGAGACGTCAGAGCCGCGGCAGACGCATGGCGCCACCGCGTGCCCAGCTGTGCGCCTCCGTTGCGCAGTAGCCAAGTCTGACGCTGCACCGGAGCCGCTTGATCGCGCCTCTCATTTTGTGCGCATAAGCTCACGCTACGTATATCCTGGCATAGCCGAACTAAAGCGTGTTTCAGATGCAGCGGTTTTTGGCCCTAGAGTGGCGGGATTTCTGCCGTCGTGGCGCTCGTGCCGCTCAACCGCTGGTGCTGGCCAGAGCGCCGCGACGGCAAAAATCGCGCCGCTCTAGGGCCAAAACCGCTGCATATGAAACACGCTTAAGCCACCGCAATTTTTTCGTGCAGTTTTGCTCATTTTGATGCGCACGTTTGCTGGTGATATCGTCTACAATAAATAATTGAATCGTACGGCAATGTGCTGTCGTTAGTTGTTAAAAGAAAAAAAACAGAAAGCGTGTGCGGCAACGGTGTGTTCAGCCCATGCTGCAGTGTAAGGCCACAGCATTGAGGCTGCGGCATGTTACTGCTTCAACGGTTTCCACTCGATCAAGGCCTTCGTCGGCAATAATCTGTGAATTTAACTCAAAACGTACAACTTCTGGCCTGCAAGCTCCAGCCGCGTGTTTCCAGGAGATTTTCTTCACGGCGAATGAGCCCCGCAGAATCGGTGCCCATGGTACACCTTGAATACGCTCCACATTAAAGTCACCTTATCTTACCGGTTCTATCAATGCATCTGTAATCGGCGCATCTCCCGCTTTTTATTTTTTTGCGGGGGGGGGGGGGGGGGGGCGTTCTACGCTGAGGTGGTAATTACGAAACGACGAGTACTACGGAACCTCACCGGACCGCCACAAATCAGGCAGTTCATAACTTGAACTTGTGGATATCTTTTTCCCAATAACTTTTCCCCTTTCCCAGATACTTCAAAAACCACCAGACAACGCAGCCAACATCGACGCGAAGGTATCCCCTCTAACTACCCAATCCCTTCAGAGATTAGCGTAGTTAAGTAGTAGTAACTACTGCTAACTTCCTTTGTTTTTAGCAATCACACAGCAGCAGCACTCGAGACACTGACCTGAGTGTAATCCTGTCGCCGCCAGCGTACTTTTTTTTATTGTTTCTCCACTAGCTGTTAACTAATTCCATGCAATGTCCAACCCTTTTCCTTTACGCTCTGTTTTGTTTTCATAAAACGCTACCTATTACAGCCTTTTTACATGCGTGCTGTTTTGTCATTGTGCTGTTTTGACGCCGTGCTGTTTTGGCACGTGCTCTTCTGTCGCTGTGCGGTTTTGACGCCGTGCTGTTTTGTCGCGTGCTATTTTGACGCGTGCTGTTTTGTCGCCGTGCTGTTTTGACGCTGTGCTATTTTGACGCCTGCTGTTTTGACCGTGCTGTTTTGTCGCGTGCTGTTTTGTCGTGTGCTGTTCTGTCGCGTTCCCAGGGATAGTGGGTGGACCTCAACGCTGGCTGCCCCAGCGGTCTACCCACTATCCTTCAATCAGAGCCAATCGGAGCTCGGCGTTCTGACGTCCCCTCAACTTCTGCTCAAGAAGCAGACAAACTTGCGCTCCGCTTGCGTCCGCGTCGCCGCCAGTGCGTCTTGCAGCCTCTCACAACGAGCGCGACACTAGCAGGCGGCGACGCCAGGAAGGACGCGTCTGCCGCTTGGCGGGGTGCTCTCGTCCAGCCTCTGCGTGCTTGCCGCTTGGGGGGGGGGGGGGGGGGGGGGGTCGGTCGGGGATCGACTAACGATTACGCAATGCGCCGGCCTTGTGTTCTACGTGGTATTGTCATAAGGGGCTGATTAAGCTCACCCACCTTAAACTGCACGAAGTCAGCCGTGAAGGTGGAGCTGTTCGATGCAAAGTAAAATGGTCACTAACCCAAAGTTTTGTCCCCTTCGAGCACCTGAATATTCTTTAGAGAAATCTCGGGCGAAAATCCGGCAGTGCGGCTGTGCCATATTTTGCTTTAATAATACGCAATTAGCACGAATGAAAAAGTAAAACACATATGTTGAATAAAGTCGCCTCTAAGGGCAAGCAATTAGCGACGCAATTATAAGCTCTCTGGTCAACGTTTTGAGGAATCATTAGATAGTTTTTTTTTTTACAAAGCTGCGCTTGCGTTTTTTTTTTTTTTTTTTTTTTTTTGCATGGAATTGCGGTGTGCACATTCTATGAAGTAGTGTCTATCTACATATAGATATATTGTGTGGGCAGTGCGCGAGCGCAGTCGCTTCCTTCGACCGTTCATTCATCGTTCATGGTGGGTAGGGAGTGCCCATACTTATACCCTAGTTCGTGAACAGTACTCCCTTAGCTTTTCGACAATTTTAATGGTATAAAGTAGCTTTTTTTTTCAGATCGAGCCCATTCATTTATCAACGCGAATAAAAGTGTCACGCTATGAGACACGTTCCTGTTCTTCAGGTTTCCCCTAGAGCCCTCCAAGAACCAATCACTCCACTCTACGATTGAGCTCTACCAATGACGAGGAAGGAAGAACCTTTCGACCCAGAGGTGCGGTGTGACACTGAGTGCAACGTTTCACTTGCTCACATCAGGGTCAGTGTCAGGGTCACACCGCATGCTTAATTTTATTACTCAAGCATTTTTTTTTGGCTCCTCGTACGTCCAGATTTTCTCACAGATCGAGTGATTGGATCTCCCGGTGACGTTCAGGAAAGTGGAGACACGTTTTTGTTTTAGAGTACAAGTATCTAAGCTGCAGGACAGGCGGTATCCTCCAATGGAAACGTAATATAGTTAAATGTGGGTGGATAGGTTGGTACACTCACTCCACCTCTCCCCCCGTCTCGTATGGCGTCTGTAACAGTGAATGAAGGCAATACTGTCGCGGTACTTACGCTTATTTCCATGTCCGCATTTACGTCCAAGGGCGCATGGCAATCACCCGACCTGGGCAACATTGACTGCAGAGATGTAAGAAGAAAAAAAAAAGTAAACCGATACGAGCAATTTTCCACTTTTAGTGTAGGTCATACTTGCATCACTGGAGTTTAATGCATGCTAAAAACGACGACGTTGACACCTGTGAGACAATACAACTTTTGTCAACACTCGTTCAACAGCAGTTCCCACGATGCACACTGACTGTTCCCGACATGAATGTTTTTTTTCCACGAGATTGGGAATAATAACTTACCTGCATCACAAAGCATTTGATCGTTTATTATCGTTTTTAAGTTTCGATTCCAGCTAACTTCGAGCAACAAATCGACCACTGGAAAACTCGAGCTCCTAGAATCGACAGTTCCGGTGAAGCTGGGATACACACCTGAATCGAAGACCGTCGCCGTCGACACCGTTTCAGAGTGAGCTCGGACGCCAGCCACTAAACGAGCCCAGCGACAGTGTTGCAGGGCATTTACACGCGGAAGGGCATGATTAGGGGCAGTTTACTCGCTCACTGTGATGACATGTTGCGTGGTCCACAACGGACAACAAAGACGACGGATGAACATGGTTCCAGTCCACGTGGCGCGTGGCTGCAATGGGGAGACGTGGGAGAATGAAGGATCCGCGTCAGCGCTATAGGACGGCCTCCTCTAGGCTCTGCGACCGCATGCTCGCGTCTTCCTTGATGATGCGTCGGAGGCGGTCTCTTCGCCGCTGTCGTCGGCGGAAGTAGCCCGGGCAGCAGCAGCAGAGCACGTTGGCGAAAGCTCGTCGGAAGTCCCTGCTCCAGCAGGCGTAGATGATGGGGTTCATGCCGGAGTTGATCCAGCCGAGCCAGGTCACTGTGGAGAATACGAGGTCCGGCTGCATGACGCAGTTCTCGCCGCAGATGCCCATGAGGATATTGGTGACGAAGAAGGGCAGCCAGCACAGGATGAACACGCCCATGACGATGGCGAGCGTCTTGGCGGCCTTGCGTTCCTTGGCGAGCTTGGCGAGCTTTCGGCTGAGCGAAAAATTTTTGAGGTTCCTGGACACCCCCGTAAGGTTGTTCCGGTCGAAGGACTCGTTCGAGGTCGAAAAGACTGTCTTGTAGTTGTTCGCTGCCTGCAGCATTCCCCCGCGGTGGATTCGCAGCGTGACCGAAGTGGTCTCGTCGCCGTTGCAGGACTGTACTTGCTTTGAGCCGAGCTTGAGGTTCCGCGTCTGTTCGACGGCGGCTCGGTAGATGCGGTAGTAGGTGAACACCATGACCATGAGCGGGGCGTAGAAGGAGATGGTGGACGAGAAGACCAGGTAGCCCACATCGTCGGTGAAGGCGCACTGGAAGGCGGCCGGCGGACCCTTGTTGACGGCGCGCCACCACGCGATGGCCGGGAAGGAGATGAGCGCGGAGCAGACCCAGACGACGGCGATCAGGGTGGTCGCCTTGGCCTGCGTCATACGGCACGGGTAGCTGATGGGATCAGTGATAGCCCAATAGCGATCCAGCGATATGACGCAGAGGTTGAGGATGGACGCCGTACTGGCGAGCACGTCGATCGAGTGCCACACGTCGCACAGATCCTGGCCGAATATCCAGTACTTGTCCATGATCTCGTGGATGGCCGAGAAAGGCATGACCACGGCGCCCACCAGGCAGTCCGCCGTCGCCAGCGACGCGATGAAGTAGTTGGTCACCGTGTGCAGGTACTGCTCTTTCGCCACGGACAGCATGACCAGCACATTGCCGAAGATGGTCACGAAGCAGAAGAAGCCCAGCAGTACGCCGAGCGCCACGTGCTGCCCCTGCGTCGACTCGTCCGGAAACGGGGACCCGCTCGCGTTGCCGGCGTCGTCCACGAAGGACAGCGAGACGTTAACCGCCGCCTCGCGCACGATGTCCACCACGCTGTCGTTGCGCACGATCTCCAGCTCGAGCACGGACAGGTTCGCGCCATACACCAGTTCCAGCAGGCTGTACGCCGGCTCGTCCAGCGAGCCGTTCGTCTCGCCCGGAACTGGCATCGCGCGGCCGGGCTCGCTCACTTGCTCATCGCGCTTCGGGGACGAGCCATGGGGTCGCAGGCCTCGCGGCGGATCCTCGCTGCGAACGGAAGAGAACGCCAGCGTCACTTGCAGGCGCACGCCATTGTTCGCGCACGAGACACCCACGCTCCACTGCGCCGCCGAACGTGCACAACTGACACCAAGAATGCCGAACGCTCGGACGCCTCAAGGTTCAGCTTCACACGTACGCGACAACAAACGCCATTCACACTTTGATCTGAACAACACTTGCCTCTACGCTGCAAGAAAAACGACCAAAGCTACGCTTCCCACCAGCCAATCACAGCGACGGGGATTAGTACAATGTAACGGTACGTTGTGACTTGACTCGCTCCGACGCCCTGAGTGGCTTGCCAAAGTCGCCACAAACCCGTAGAAAAAACGAAAGGATTTTGGTTACATTTAAAGACTCTTGATGTGTTTGTGTTTGTCTTGCAAGTAGCGTCAAATGCGCCAGTGCACATAGGCCCATGCGTCGTGCGGCACGTGTCTCGGGTGTTCACACAACAATGGTTGGTAAGAAATGCCAAGCGTGAATTTTATCCAGGTGCTTAAAGGGGCGATGCAACAATTTATGTGCTTTGAGCAAATATCGTTAAGAACGGATCCCCCTGACGTTAATGATCTATACAACACGCGTTCGTTTCTCACCCCACGCAATAAAGTCCCCGAAAAAAATGAAAGAAAAACGAGCAGCGTTCACCCCCTCAACTCGCAGCCATTACAAGCGGCCACGTGATCTGGAGCCGATTATATGCCGCCAATGTTGATCATAGCCACGCGCTGGGGTTGGCAAGGCACAGGATACGCGCTGAGTTCCAGACATTGTTATGACTCGGCTATTATCGTCATTGCAGCGATTGGACACGGGCCACTACCCGAATGCTTCTCGAGCTAGTAGTTATCACGAGCCTAAATCGAGTGCCCACGAATTACTCGAGTCCAATCTATGAACCGCATTCAAATATCGTCATTGGGGTGTACTGCGATCCCCACGTTACGTCATCGCATTTTGCAAAGAAGAGATTGAATGAAAATGATTGTTTTTGTCCTTGAAATTACACCGCAACAAAGGAGTTTCTTCGTCAGTGGCGTTGCGTGCGAGTATCCTTTAGTCTCACTTATGCCAGTAAGCTTGTGTATATTGAAAAACATTCCAATGGAATATCGTTGCACCGCCCCTTTAATAGAGGTTACGGAAACGAAATGACGTGAACGCGAGCTCTCTGCCGCTCGCTTCGAAGTCGCCAGCGAGAATAGCAAGGCGTATCGCGCTCGTGACGCCAATAGTTCGTGCACGGTCAAGGGTAGTGCAGTTGCGAGCCTTGCCGCTTGGTGGTGTCAACGCGTGACAGTCTCACCTCGTAGTAATATCCGAGGGCGAGAGCTCACGGTCGCTGCTTTGAAGCGTTCTTCCGCAGAACGAGCGCTCGCGCAAGAAATGCATGCCTCAAAGCCAGGAGCCCGGGCTGGCTTCCGCTTGCAGCTTTGGCTGCAGTTTCAGCTAATGGGTGAACGGAGTATGTTAAACGTGTTAGCGTTCTCCGTCAAGTCACATTCAAGACGAAGTAACTCCACGAGCGAGCTATACTGCCGCGAACTGGCACTGCTTCTTGGGAACTCATGACGTCGCGGCATTCCAACGGAGCTTCATAGACCACCACCAGGCGCAATTTCGAAAACTGTTCATTAGTTTTAACATTAGTTTTCTTGGCTTCTCCGCCTGCAGCCCAGAAACACTAGTCTAGGATAGTGTTTCCATGGGCTGCCGGCACAACGTAGACCACATCTGAGCAAAGAAATAAGTGCAAAACATTTCTTTTCCGCACACCTTTAAAAACTGGTTCACCCATTTGCGTCGGCTGCGTTTCCAGCAACCGAAACGACCACAACGACGGTCACCGGGACAAGTGTCCGCCATACACAGCGTGAAAAGCGATACAAGGGGTAGCTTCGCGAAGCCATACACGAGTCACGTTGTTTCGGTGTTTTGGTCGCTTCTGTCGTTTTGGTTTTTGTGAATGAAACTCTTGGAAATGCGTAAAGCAGCCTTAAGTCACAGCCATTGTCACTTCTCGGTTTGCAAACACGAAAGTAAATGAAAAATGCCAAAAATTATTTAAAAAAAAAGTGTTTTTTTTTTTTTTTTTTGGCGTAGTGGGTGTGAACTAACGTTTATAACGCAGAGAACAGTGCGCAATCTCCATAACCCCGTCACGCCTGAGTTCGTCGTTTGTAAAAGAAAATTGCGCTTCACATACACACCCTACATAATGATGACGGCGCCGTCTAGAGGCTGTATAATTACGACGGTGCACAATTTGTTCACCCTTTGTTTATTGTATATACAGTGCGTTTTCTTTTAGAATGAACATAATTAAAAAAAAAAAAGGGGAACAAGTGTTAAGTGTCTTCTAGCCCCGTGGCTAGAAGTGGAGCGAAAGCTCGCGATGCAAAACTCAGGGATCCTGGGTGGAATTCCTACCCCTGCCTGTTTCGATTTGAATGAACATCGTACAGACGTGCGGTCCTTTATCACTACTGCGTGATGCACGTTAAAGACCCCCTCCCCAGGCTAGCGGTTGTACTCCACTGGCTTAAGTTCTCATCTACAGCTGGGAGACAAGTGGCTCGTTGAAGCAGACTAAGTTCAGGATGTATAAGCATACACACACACTTTTTTGTTTTTATTTGTCTATAGACGCCACAGCGAGTCTCTATTTGTAGAAAATTACCAGCAGAAAACCGCAACCAATAACTTACAACATGAAAAATATGTCCAAGAAACAATTCGCCCAAGTTATGGGTTACATAATTTATGAATTTTCAAATGGATTCCCATAAACGTTAGACATTATTACTAACTGTCATTTGCATCAAAATTTCAAAAACTAAATGAGGCTTTACATATTAGGTCCTCAACAATGACACGTCTCTCATCCTGATCCGTCTCATCCTTCCATCCTTTTTCTTTTCGCTTTCCCTTTGTTTTGTATGATTTATAGCACATATATCATCCCACTTTATGATATATATATATATATATATATATATATATATATATATATATATATATATATATATATATATATATATACACAGGGTGTTTTTTTATTCTTGCAGATTTGTTTAAAAAAAAAGCCATGAAAGCTAAACTTATGCGGTTTGTGCGAGTGAGTTATACGCCCAGGGGGAAATTATGTGGGTGGCTAATCTTTGCGATAAGTCGGTTAATTAATTAAAATTCTCTAATTAACGTTTTAATTAGTGAAAATAGACATATGCTTTTAATTAGAAACTTGCTGAGCGTCGTCCAAAACCCCTAAATCAGTCATTTTTAGAAAGACTTTCAGCGCGTGAGGAGCGTAGTAGTACACTAAAGTTACCACTCGTGGAGCAGGTACAAGGCTAGAGATTTCGGTAACGCGCCCGCGCAATTTTTCCGCCTCTTATCTAGCCCCAGCCTTGTACCTGCTCCACGAGTGGTAATTTCAGCGCACTACTGCGCTTCTTACGCGATCAAGGTCTCTCTCTCTCTCTCTCTCTCTCTCTCTCTCTCTCTATATATATATATATATATATATAACTTTAACAATTATAGAAATTATTTAAGACTAGCCGACGCTACGAGCTGATAGGATTAATCAGACAGCGTCAAAAGTTCAAAATCATGGTGTTTGTCATGTTTCTGTGCTTGTTCTATCATCGCTGAACCGATTATAAAAAGAAAAGGCGTCGTGACTTGCGCTTTTGACGCTGCTTGATTGGTCAAATTACCTGGAAGCGTCGTCTGCGTCTGCATTTCAGCGAGGACGAAGCATAACTATCACGAGAGGTTCCAAAGATGATGAAACGATGCCTCCTATAGTGTCTCCCGGAATAATTGCTTTAGAAGGTCCCGGGTCGGCTAAACTCGTCGAACACAAAGTGGGAGCCGGAGTTCACGATGCGTGCTGATTGGACTCTCGCGACGACGGCGTCACGCGGGACGAGGTGTCAATTATCCAAACTCTCTCGGTGTTCAAATTACAGCGATATGGTGAAACAAAGTCGTAGCGAGGTTCATCGGTGCGCGCGCGAGCAACACTGTGGGGGCGTGCCGCTTGAACGGCTACACTGATGACGTCGGGCCCGCGTGTCCCTACATCCCTACGCTGCGTTGGAGTCACTGCTGTCTAGATTGTCCCTAGGGGGCAATGAATACTCCGAACTTGGTCGTCGCAAAATCGTCGTTTGTGGAGGTTATCGGTGACAACAAAGTGACGTTTCGCAACTTTTGGATGGAGTCATTTGAGGACAAAATCTTCGCTTAGGAATCGAGGCGAAGATTGAACTTTGTGATGTTGTGGAACCGTGCGCGGTGTACGCGGCTTTAAAGGTCATCTTTCCGCCACTGTCAACAACTCTACCGAGAGGCGGTGTGGATAGTGACGTCGGTAGTGTTTGAGAGATAAGGGGGCAACAGGGGTTGGCGAGAAAAAACCGAGGGAAGGGAATTAAAAAGGAGTATGACCAACACACACATACTCACAGATACACACACACATGCACAAATACACTCTCAAGGAAAAGGGTGTAGTCTTACACCCATTTGTTCCGTATAAAGCACCCCAAAACTTAAGTTCGACGTACAGCGCACTTCCGTCGAACTGACGGCCCCCAATTTCACGAGGGGCTTGATAACCGGTGCGATATAATTTAATAAACACGTAAAGTACGTATCAAAGACTACAAAGAAAAATGCTGACGTTTCAGAGTACAGCCAAGAAAATCCCGATTAATTTATTTTTTTTGTAGACAGTAACACGCACATTAGCTATTTTAATAAGTTCTACCACTCGGCTATCAAGCTGCGCGCTCGTGAAAGTTGCTACCTTCGGATCGGCGGCAGTGCGCTGTACGTCGAACTGAAGTTTTGTGATGTATTATACGGGACAAGGGGTGTAAGTACTACACAC